AAATTTTGGATGGTAATTGAAGAGGACATTGTGGGCTTTCCAATGGTATCAAAATTCGATAGTTTTGATAGTCGAAAGTTGCCGAAAAATTGCCTTAAAAGTCGCCCAAAAAATCTGAAAATCTGGGCAGATTTTCAAAATTTTTGGGCAACTTTTAAGGCAATTTTTTGATCGAATCCCTTGGAGTTACAATGAGATTTTGGTTGGTAATTGAAGAGGATATCGTGGGCATTCCAACGGTATCAAAATTCGACATTTTTTGTGGTCGGAAGTTGTCGAAAATTTGCCGTAAAAGTCGTCCAATTATTTGAAGAGACGAGTGATGAATGAGTAATTATATGAAAAGATGAGTGAGCATTCAGTAATATGTGAAAGATGAGTGAGCAAGTAGTAATCAAGTGTAAAGTTAAGTGATTATTGGTTAAATTTACTCATCATTAGCATGATAGCATCTGGCCTTTTATTTACTTATTAAATGCTACACCTCTACCAAGCATAAATTTTCTCCTAAATTTATCTAAACATGCACGCGTAGATTAAATCTTTCTCCACTTAACGTAGATAACTTGTTTTTTGGCTTAGCGAACATGCTCTTTATCTATCGTTTTTAGGGATGGCTACACATTTTGGTTTAAATAAGAAAACGATTGAACTTAATGTAAATACGCATTCTGCACTAGGATCAAACGATTCTATCAAACTATGCAATATGTTCATGCAGTGATACCTAATTCACAAGCATGCTCCACGATGATTGCGTCAACTCACAAAATATTCTTCTCATCGTAGCTAAAACACGTTCCATAATTGATTGGTTCTAGTTTATTCCACTCGTATTTTTCTTTACTTTTCAAGTGTAAATATTAAGATGATTTCATCTTAAAACATCTGTCTTATTAACGTGTTGCTTATTGTGCAAATGTTGATTTTCGAATATGTATTAATCCATATAAATTCATATAAAATAACTAAATACTTGGCCTAATCAAGAGGTTAAAAAACTTGATTATATAGCTAGAATCGAGAATCTAGTTAAAATTGTCCATTCAAATCAATCAAAATTTGACGACTAATTTTGTTTTTTTGGTCCAATTCGAACAATTTCGAGAAAAGTACATCCACCCCTATACATGTTTGGAAAATGTTTATAAAAAATTAAATTATAAATAAATAAAAATAATTAGATAATGTTAGTGTGTCTGTGTAAATAAAAAAATAATTTTGTCAAACCAACTTAAAAATTATTTAGAAAGTCAATGTAAATCAACAGAGTGGTGCATTGGTCATCATGAGGTCCATCGCATTATAACCTTGCCTCATTATGATGTACAAAATTTTAATTTTTTTTAGTGTACAAATTCAAATATTTTATTATTTATAAAGAAAAATGTCTGAATCTAACGAGCAACGTGGCTTGGAATCTACCGTGATTACGGGGCCCACAAAAAGCCACGCGTACCAAGATTCTCGCGCGTGTAAGGAGGCTTATAATCTGTCAATCCCATTTTTCAATTCTATTGAAATACTGATAACATCACCCCGCCTTTTAAAACTTGTTTCTCATATATTTAATTTTTCATGTATTATTTTATTTGATACCGAAAATTGTCTTCTTCTTCTTCTTCTTCTTCTTTTAATTAATAGTTAAGAAACAAAGTTGCACGATTTTTTTTAGACGCAACATTCTATTTCATTTCAAAAAATAAAATTATTTATTAGAATATGTTTCTTGAAATAGTGTCCCGCTTTTTTTTAATAAAATTTAGAGATTTTATAGAAACTTTGGACTAAAATATTTTGAAATTATTGCACTTAAATTGTCGCTTTGTTACAGACTTCAATGAAAAATTAAAATAATTACAGACTTTAACACTTACAGTAGTGAAAATTAATAAGCAATTAGAATTTAATTATTGTTAGACATCTTTTCTAAAATAAAATAATATACTTATAAAACAAATTAAAAATAATTCCATGTTCTACTATAGTTTCATATTCTATTTCCTTGTAACCTAAAATTATCCAACAACAATAAATTCAATTCTCTCCAAAAATAAATAAATAAATTATATATACGTATTTTGGGTTAATTTCTCAATAGTGCACAAAACCAAGAAATAATTCCGAAAAATAAAATAATGACATCACAAACACAGGTGTCACTGTGTCAAACGTAGGTGCAAACTGCAAATATTACTTGGGGTATGAATTTTAGGTGTTTTATAGGGTGATTTTAGTAGAATTTAGCCAAACTCTATGTCCCCAAGATTTTAAGCATGGATGCCTCTCCTGCAGTTCTACAAAATGCAGTTTACATAGTATCACACTCCTATATCACTACCAATTCCAATACAGACACAAGTGCAACTATTTTCATTTTCTCTCTCTCTATGCGATTCTCTGTTATAGTAATACCTAAGAACTGAAGGGTTTCTTTATCAGCATCAGATTTTTCTTTAACTGGTAAATTGTTTTACTAAATCTTGAATATCTTCATTTGCATGTAAGTATTTATATGTATGTAGTGAATTCGTCATACGGTTTTTTTTTTTTTTTTTAATTGGTGCTGTGTGATTTATGTTTGACTTAATTATGAAAAGTTCTACTTTTGGCGTCGTTTGATTGGAATAAGAAGTATCTTTCGGTTGAAATGTCAATAATTTAATGCTTTACCTGTAATTGGTAAGAAATATATATGATTCAATAGTTATTGTCTTGATTCTTGGAAATGTAAGAGGAAGAGATGACTTCTCCTATTTGTGTTAATTTCCGGTAGATGTAGTAATGAACTGAATAGACGGCGAAAAATGATTATATATTTTTTCTATTTGTGCTAATTTCCGGACGATTTAGCAATGATGCGCATACCGCATATTTATTGCCTTAAGGCTGAGTTTGTGGTTGTTAGTATTTGTATTAATTTTCTGAAGAAAAGAAAACTCGATATCCTTTCACTCAATTCTTGAAAATTTAAGAGGAAAAGGATTGATTTTTTCCTCACCGTGTTGATTTTTCGGTCCCCAAAATGTTGAATTGGATACCAATTGAAAACTGGAATCTTAATCGGGAGGCACGTTAATTATGTTTATACAATTTAATAGCACGACCAAAGTCCAAAGCAACTCCGAAGTGGTAGAGTTTGAAGTATTGTGATTTTTGAGACTACCTGGTCTTACTATTACTCAATTGAACAGTGTTTAGCAACTGATTGTTGTGTGATTTTTTTGGTTCCAATGCACAATGTTTATGATGCAAAAAACATATCTGACGACAATGCTCGTTATTCTTTTCGGAAGAAAGCTTAAGCTGAATGATCATCAATTCTCCTTTTTGACTGACATTGTTTGTCCCGTTTCATCAGAAAGGGCATAAATAAAGTTACTTACAGGTTCCTCAGAGAAACCAGGGAAGCATGCACTCCAATTCCAAGAATTCAAACCTCAGAGAATCCAGTTTTTATGAGATTTCAAATTCCACATTACTTTCCGAACCTTGGTGGAAAAAAACTGGATACAGTTCCTTCCCAACAGTAATGATGCAAGGAAATGCATCAGATTCAACGTCATTGGAGCAAGCTATGGATGGCCAATCACACTCTGAGGATGGCACGAATGATGGAGATGCTGCTGCGGCCAAACAATCACGTTGTAATATTCCTCCGCATCCAGGTGTCTGATTAAACCATAACCATTAAGGAAGAAGTTCTTCATTTTTAAATTTATTTCTGAGAACTATCTCTGGTTGCTGACATATTTTTTCATGATATTTGTCTCATTTTAAAGATTAAATCAATGGAGTTTTATAATTTGATATAGATTTAACCACATGCAATCTAGAAGTGTCCTACTTCTTATTACACACTGTTCGACTTTACGTCCTTTTCTTTTTGAAATCAACAGCACCATTTTGGAAAGTGATGGCTGTATTTTTAACTTTGAACAAGACATGCTGTTTTAAAAGGTGCCAAAGAGATGTATAATGTTCTGTGTTTAAGGGGTGGCCTTGTAGAATTGTTTGTATTAGTTTTTATTTAATGTAAAAAGTAGAGTCAATCATCTTGAAACAAAAAATTGAGTTACGATGAATCATATATTTGTCTCCATACGATCAAATATCTTGTAGATTGCCTGCTTGATATTGATTGGTTGAGCATCTTTCCACGAGGGGTGGCATCAAAGTTGGTCACCAGCAACTCAGGCCTTGCTAAATTTTATATTTATCAACATTGCTTTCAAGTTTCTGTGACCGGACTCAACTGACTTATAGAACTTGTGAATCGGGCAATGATTATGTTTTCATGTCCTCTGAGCGCTGAACTTATATGATTAGTTTTACATGTAGGAAGCTATGAGTTGACTGAATGACATTTGTTTGCCAGTCTAAAGTGTACATCCATTCAGAAACAGTAATATTTGGGATTCTTTATGGATTCAAATGTGTATTGAATACATACATGTGAAAATTAGAACAAATGAAACACGCCCTTTTATTTGAAACTGATAGCTGGGGATGCAACATGGTATGCGGAAATAGAAGAGAGGGAAGTAGAAAAATACTGAGGGAAGTAGAAGAACAAGAGAAAGAGAGAATCTTAGAGAGGCAATTAGATATCAATTCAGTTCCATATGTATAATTCTAAAAACCAACTTCTGTTTATGCTTAACATCCTTGATAAAAATTTAGAAGTTACCGAATTATGAAAATTGAAAATTACCTGATTGTAAGCTAGAAAGTATGTAAAGGAAATAAAGAAAATCAATCAAGACAAATTCTGAAGTATTTTTTACTCTTTTGCCTAAAATGATTGTCTAGTCAATGGCAAGTCGTCCGGACTATACATAAGGATCTCAATTAATCTATGATTTTGCTAGAGCATTTGCATAATACTTGGAAGTTTTTTACACCATATCCTCTTTTCTCTAGTACTATATCTGTTCTCTAGCTGTATGTTCGTTAAGATGCAGCAAGTATATTACATAAGCATCCTATTTTCCCGTATAGCATTGTGACATCGTGGTTGATCGTGTCATGCTTTATCATATAAAGTACTTGCTATTAATCTCCAGTGTCTTAAAAAATGAAGATCAAGATAAGTTGGTTTCTGTGGATTTGTCAAATCCAAGCTACAGGGGTGTGGAATGTAGGAATCTGGGATTCAACAAATGATTTGGTGAGATGATGCAAGTTTTGCGTGTTTCTGTTAGGGTGAAAATTCTATTTCTCATTAAAATCAGCAGTATGCCAAAGTGGTTTCTTTCAATTATGGATTATATGTTGGAGCCATGTGATTATGACTTTCGGAGTACGTCTAGAAGGATTGAATAGATAATACTTTAGTTTTTTTTCTATTTCAGCGTCGTCCAAAACTGTGTATTCCACCTTAATGAACATGCCAATATGATTTGAATATACTACTTAGAATGCTAAAGCTCACTGATATCAATGTAATTGCTAAAGTTTTTATTAAGTATTTAAACTCTGTGTCCTTCCATTTCTTATGAAATTTAAAATTTTAAATACTCATGACATCTTTTTCCAAGATCAGATAGAAATTATGGAGTGGAAGATCCTAATTTACCACATGGTTCTTTGACCATACGTCCAAGGAGTTTCGACAACCTAGTGCAGCCCCCACATCAGGAGTTTGTTGGGCACTCGATCGTAAGGATATAGACTCGAAAAATATGTTGTTTGTAGATTATTTCAGTATATTAATTAAGTTTTGAAATGAAAATGATTTTAGTTTATGATGGTTTTGTGACTATTTTTCAGGCCTGTGCTTCGAATCCGCGTGACCCATATCATGGAGGAATGATGGCAGCTTATGGTCAGCCTTTGGTGCGTTCAAGAAGTGAATTTATTTCTCAATCTGAGTCTTTCTTTCGATAATTAAATAGCTGGCCGAGAAGGGTGTGTGAATATTAAATTTTCTTGTATGAAGCTGTTCAAATGCAATTTGCACTCCAAGTTCTTAGCTTTTGAAAATAAACTACAAAAAACGACGCATTGTACGACTAAATTGGAACATTCATAAACGGGTTGGCATGTCTTTGAAATATGGTATGTCACTTGACAGTGTTCTCTCTCCTCTGTTTACCTTTTTTACTTTGATGGATCAATAAATACATTGCTGTTCTATAATCTGATTCGAGTTAGTCAAGTCAATATTATTGTTTTGTTAGTTTTTCTTTGGGAGGATTTTGAATCTTGTCTCATTGTTGTTTGACATTTTAGGAATGTTTGTTCCAATTAGTTTGTTATTTGTCACGTAAACTTGTTCCAAAAAAAAAAATGTTTAAGCTAATAAACTATTGTTTTGATCAGGTTCCTCCTGATTTATTGGATGTGCATCAAGCCAGAATACCTTTGCCTCTTGAGATGGCACAAGAGCCTGTTTATGTGAACGCCAAGCAGTACCATGGAATTTTGAGGAGAAGGCATTTGCGTGCTAAAGCGGAACTCGAGAGAAAGGCAATAAAATCTCGAAAGGTTGGTTTTGCCATTGTTTTCTTTCTACTTTAGCCTCTGGCTATATTCTGCTTGTGTGGATTCTCTCAGTGTTGAAATGGATATATTAGGAACTTGAGCTTGTCTCATGATGTCTTTGTTCTTCTCCTGTTTTTCTATGATAAGTAATTGTTATTGAAGACTGAATTTATGTAAATAAATGCGTCCCTTCTCAAACAACTTGATATTTTTTAAATGATATGGTTCAATATAGATCAGTGTGTGCAAAAGTCCTCATTTCTTCTCAAAATTGGTCATGTGTTAGGCATTTGATGCAAAATTAATCTGGGAAGCCTGAAGTGTTCGAAAGAAAACACCGACATATAGTTGAAGAACGTGGAATGTGAATAACCCACCTTTGAATTGAAATTGAGATACTGATGCAAGTTCTTCCCAATCGGAAAGCCTTCATGTTAAAGACTTAATTTAAATAAATAAATATTCCCGCCTCTTTCAACTCTAGGCTTTCAAATGATGTGGTTAAACAATTTTCTTCTTAACTTGTAGCCTTATCTTCACGAGTCCCGACATCAACATGCACTGAGGAGGGCAAGAAGTTCTGGAGGACGTTTTGCAAAGAAATCTGATGCGGACCTTTTGAACAGGACAGTGTCTGGCTCGGCTATCTCATCACGTTTTGAACCCTTGCCCTCGGAGTTCAATGGATCGGAAGTTCACGAAGTTCAGCATATACATGGCAATGATCTCAGCAATTTTAGAAAGAGAACCAACCCGCAAGAGCCAGCATATGATTCTCGTTTTGGCTAGCGATGGGAGGGACGCACTTCAGGCCAGCAGCGGTGAAACATCCAGTCTAACCATGAACTCTCCATTCAGTGAACTTATCACTACCTCGTCGTACTATCACATTTTTGAGCTTCATGGGAATTCTTGAATGTGTTTGTTTAATACCAAATGGATAGTATTTATGAATGTATAGTTGAAGTTGATCTTTAATTTTGACGGAATAGAAAAAGAATCTAAGCTATGTTTTAGGAAACACAAAAGTAGGAAGTATAGTAGATAGGATTTGGTATGACACTTTTAATTAAGTGGATTTTACAGTGGTGAACACTATGAATAAAATAATTGTTCACGTGGATTTATAATTTTTCATAATCTTAAATACAAATTTTTCAAAGGAATTATTTCTCGAAAAAATGAAATCAAACTAAGGTTATGTATCGAATGCATCTTTAATGAAATAAAAAACACTTTTAGTCAAATGCGAAAATGCCATGTTCTTAAATAGTAAATACAACAATATATAAGTAGAAGTAACCATATTCAGCTTGATTTTGGTAAAAACGTAGATTGAATAAATAGAGAATTGCTCGATTTTCAATTAATTTAGTATTTGTTTGGTTCTAAAAATTGTTATTGCAAGTTGATTTACTCCTTTAAGTGTAGAGGGGAGATTTTTCTATTTGACTTATCAATATTCCTTTTTGTTGAAAGGTTTATATTACCCTTCATGAAATAATTATTTCTATATTACAATATATATTCTAATCTTTTAAACATTTCATCTTCTACTTCGAATATATGAATATAAATTCATTCTATGATCTAATAAGTAAGAATAATATGTAACATATATTTCATATCTTCTAATTAAAATAATATATTTTTCAAATGGTAAATTTATATTTTCTAATTGAGCGATAATATTCTTTATTTTTTCTAAAAGATTATCTAATCCTTCAATTGTATATCCTGACATTTATTCATAATCATCAATTAATTCCTACGATTCCTTAAGATCTTAAAAAGATTTATTCTAATTTTAGTAAAAGTTTAATAGTTTTACTTTAGGTTTGATCTGGACTTGTATTCTTAAAACCGAGTGACCTTCGAGCTCTGAATCTATAAACTGCCTCCTTCAACGGCCTCCTGCTTTCATGGAATTGTTACTGTTTCAGCTACTTGCTCTCACTGTATCAACTTCTAAAGAATAAAATCATAGATTTCTGTTAAAGAAAAACTTTCTTTTTGTTAAAATAGGAAGGAAACTTTTTATCAGATTTTTCAAGAATCTATGGGAAAAAGATTTAGAAACTCATATTCATATCAAAATATTGGAGTTTTATCTCTATTAGAATTTATACAAAACTTCTATTTGATACAAAGAGATTTCCAGAAAAACTGATTTTTCAAACTGAGAATGATTTTTGAGTAGCTATTGCTTACAATTCGAGATTTCTAGATAAGATGATATTATCTATTTCTATGACAATGTCTCTATTTATACAAATTTATGAGACTCTATTACATCATTGAGTATATCAGCAAGGTACACTTGTCTTTCTATTATTTTCCTCCTTAGGCCTACATCTTTACATGTTACTTCAATTTTTTATCCAAAGAGCATTTTTTTCTATTATTGTTCTTTATCTTCAATGTCCTCACATGGAGCTGTATTATTGTCCTTCATATATCTTTGTCAAAGGTGCTCTATTATTGTCCTCTTCCTTCATTTCTTCACATGCAGTTGGGGCACTCCCTTAGCTGGCAGGATTCTTTTGTCATCAAATTTCGAAATTTCAATAAAATCTTTTCTTGGATATATCAAATCCATGAATCCATAGTTTGCCATAATTTTTATAAATGAAGGGTCTCCTCCTTCCATGGCTGTTATTCTAAGATAAACATTATTTCTTAGAAAAATAAAATATAAATCACTCATTTTCATTTCATAAGCGATTTTGACTATTTCGACATATTTTTTTCGTTTGGATCTAAAAGGTTTTTATCTTCTTGGTCTATGATACTGATTGTTTTGGTATCTCTTTTATCTCCATGTATTATAATATTCTTGGTTGATGATACAGAAATGGAATCTCCTTTCTTATCAGTTGGTATGTTGTCACGTCTGGGTCCACTGCTGCTTCCAGCTGTCCCTGTTTGGTATTGGTTTAGAAAACACATTTCTGAACTCTTTGGTATATCTGTCTCAGACAGTATATCTTTTAGTTGTGTTGCAATAGCATCAACTTGATTTTTGAATTCTATGGTATATTTATGATACTCAGTAGTGATATTCAACAGTATTTTTATATTTAAGTTGAACATCTCTGAGATCTGGATTGCTCCAGAGTTTATATCTTCAGATACTTCTTTAAGAAAATTTGTCATTTTTTGTATATGAAGGATAAATTGGTATAATTTCATGACACTGTCTTTATTCATCAGCAAATCCTATGTTTTTGCTGAGAAAATCTACGAGAAAATTATTAACTACTTTAATATGGACTATATCGAAATTATAAAATGCTAAATAAGTTTACCATCTATGGAGCCTTCTGTATTGAGGTTCTGATGGTAATTTATTCCTGACTAATCTTACAACTTGAGAATTATCAGTTTCAACAATAAATTTTTTGGACAATAAGAATAATGAGAACTTTTTTATTCTTCTAATAATTGCTAATAATTCTTTCTCATGAGTAGTATAATTTATTTTTGATTGGTTAAAGGTTCCACTTGAATATCTAAAAAATTTCATTTATATCTATTTTTAATATTGCTGCCCAATATTTATCTGAGGCATCAGTATAAACAATCAAATTATCTTTTTCATCTCATAATCTTAATTTTGGTAAATTTTTGCATTCTTCTTTTAATGATTTAACCATTTCTTTATGTTCTTCATTCTATCATTTAGAGCGTGTTTGATTGACATGGAAAATATTACCTAGAAAAGAAAATATTTTTCATCTTTTGTGAAAAATAAAAACCACCTCTAGCCAAGGAAAATATTTTCCTTAAAAACAAGAAAAATTAGGCATATTTTCAAAAGTTGAAAAATGTTTTCCATGGAAAAAAATAGTAATCAAACACTCCAAGTAGGAATTTGGGTGAAAAATTGATATTTTCCATGGAAAATAAATGTAATCAAACACATCCTTAGTGTTTGTTTTTTTTAAGTAAAACTTGAATTTTATATATTTTCTTAGAAAGATTTTCAATAAATCATTCCACATAGTTTAAACATCCTAAAAAATTTTGAATTTGTTCTTTGGATTCTAATTTATCTGAAAAACTTTCTATCTTTCTTGATATATGAGTATGTAATTTTATCCCTTTTTTATCTATTGATAATCCAAGAAAGTCTATATCTTATTTTTCTATTATAGATTTCTTTTTAGATAGTGCAATTCCTTATTTTTTACATTTTTTAATAAATTGGATTAAATGATTTCTATGTTCTTATTTACTATTAGAACATATTAATATATCATCTATACAAACAATTAGAAATTTATTAAACTTTTTAAATATATTATCCATCTTTCTTTGATATATTTGTGGTGCATTTTTTAGGCCAAATAGCATAACAAATCATTCATATTTTCCTTGAGGTATACTAAAGGCAGTATATTGTATACTATATTCTTCCATTTTTATTTATCAAAATCCTAATTTACAATCAAATTTAGAATAATATTGTTTTCCTCTTACAAGATTTATTAACACTTCTTTATTTGGTAGAAAATAACAATCAAATTTAGTATATTTGTTTAATTCTTTATAATTTA